GACTTGGACGAAAATCAACTATGGCTTAGAAAAATGCAAGGTACCGTGGCCACACATGACCAAGCGCAATCCGTGGAAGAAGCAACACAGCAACTGGCCGATCATGCCTCCCTGAAAACCGAGCTCGAATCCAGACGGGAACCATTTGCTCAACTGATCAGTTACGGTCGCTGCATCACCGAGGGTGAAACAGACGAGCACTATGTGGAATTGGACGAGCGACTCGATGCGCTCGAAACCGGTTGGAGTGAACTGGTTCGGATGTGGATACATCGACAAAAACAACTGGAGGACAGTTTATCAATTCAGGTGGGTCGTCTGATCTTCATAATAGCAAAGAGTGATTGATGCTTTTAAATCATCAATTATTGGTTTCCATCGAGCAGTTGTGTCAGCGGATGAGGAGGTTAGCTGTAATCTGATCAATTCACATATTGCGAAAGTAAACAGCTCGGCAAGCAAAACTGAGTAGTATATGCCAAACTGGATAAAATTTCTCTGAATTAAATCATTTGTCTAGCTTTTCTTGTCACTCATTAGGCGTATCCGATTCCCATCCGTCAATCTGTTCTTGTCACTTTACTATTGAAATGAATTGAAAACAGATGATTTACTTGTGGTATTTTGTGGAGCCAGTTTGAGACAGGCCAACCTCAAAAAGTCAGTGTGTTGAAACTGTGATGGCTTCTGTGGGATGTTTGTCTAACCCGCACTAACCTCGACCCTATTATGGTCGATTCTTTAAGACTTTTGTATTATTGGTAAAACAGAACCATATTAATGTTTGGGTAACCTAGATCTGCGTAGAAACAACTATGTTTCATGAAACTTATTTGCCGGCGGTGATGGCCCGTTGGTAGCCTCACCAAATTATCACCCCAGAGGACGTGTGTTCGAATCCCTATTATCTGTGTTATATATGTCAGTCCCGTTTGATTAATCACTTCCTCCTTCCCGAAAATGATATCCTTGTGTAATGAATAAGAAGAAAAAAATATAAATAAAGACCTGGCATGCTGCCGCGCGATAAGGGATAATTATGGATACCTTCTATATTGGATGCGTTTCCATCTCTTCCACTAAGTGTTGACGCCTGATTTGGGTACCATTCTGGCAAAACCACTGTTATCTTGACTGGCATATGACCTGATATTTGGTATTTTAGTGCTGCGTTACTTGAGTGTGTGCAAAAGAGTTCATTTCTGCCTCGATGAAGTGAGGTGATGAAAAACTGTCGGAGAAAAATGAGGGCAACCACGCGATACAACTGATTCTGCTATAAATAAAAGCAACATTAGACACAAACTCTCTATTATAATCGCACAGATCACTCTCGAAACCGACTTTATAAAGGATTGTCTTCCGGTAACGTTTCTCATTCTTCAAGACATTCCAAAGGCAGTGATATAGAGAACAGAGCTGAAAGCGTGTAGAAATTTATTTGTGGATGAGAAAGCACGGTCATGATTGGTTGGCGGTTCCAGCCAATCACTTGAATTCGCCCATCATTGTTCCGATTGGTTGCCCAAGAAAGAGGTAGTTTTCAGGAAGCCTGCTTCTTCCCTAATACTCGTCGAATAAGATAGTCTGAATACACACAAAATCACTTGAGGCTGACTAATTGTGAATGGTCGCTGACGCAGTAAACCTTTTGTTTAGGCATCTCTAAGCGTATCAATTGTTTTCTCCCATTCTGCGTGTTCAACAGCACATTGATACATTCAATCATTTAAACGGGGGAAAAATAACGCATATTCTAGGAGCAAGAGAGATCCTACCAGTAATTGGTGCTCAAATACCGAAATACTCTTTGAATTGTCCCCTCTGAGCACGTCTCTATGGGGATAGAATTCTGACAAACGATTCCTTTTTCACGGACGTATTCATCTTGAAACCTGGTGATGATATCAGATCCTCGGTTGTCGAGAACAATGAATCCCCTGAAATTTCGGACTCACTTATTTTATTTCATTTTTCACTATTTTCGTGTACTCATAACGGCCACATTTTCCACATGGTCAACTGTTCAAAATCCGGACGAGCGATCGATCATCAGTGTCTAACAAGTATCCTACTACCACCAGCGAATCACTTAAGTTAAAATGCTCGTTGACTTTGTGCATACAATACGTAAATCGCTCGGGACGTATTAAGTAAACCAAACATACAGTGGTGCGCTGCTTCAACTCTCATTCAACAAGTGAACGTTTTGCACAGTTAAACAAACGCAACAGCAAATGGGATGTCTATTCAGCTTCTGTGGTGTATTTATATATCCCTCGTATGCGTTGTCTCTAGGGTATAAAGTATAAAGTGTTCGAACAAAGGTGTCCACATACCATCATGCCGGTAGGTTTGCTTAAGTGTAAATGTGACTCGTTGCGGCAGTAGGTTCTCTTGGGTTTACATGCACGAACGTTTCCGTAAATCTTTAGACAACGCGAAAACAGAAATGCTTCGACGATTTCGAACGATCCGGATTTTTCGGGAGATTGAAATTCTCTGTACGCCTGAGATATGCCCAGATTTCCAGTTACCAGTAAAGTCAGTTAGGAAAACAAAGTACACACATAACAACTATTCGTCATATCGGTCACACATAGCTTCTTCATCGATCGGACCGATTGGGCGGAATCCACGATGACGGGTGCCACGAAAGGTGTGCAGCGAACTAGCATGGAATGGTCAGTACACAAAAGTTCAACAGTTTCGTTTCCAATCGATAGAAACTATCTGGTGGCCGTGAATTTTTATGTATTCGGTTCTCATGAGGTACTGGCTGACGCGCGGATTTTTATCAACCGTGTCTTGTGTCTGATAAGTGCTCAAATCATACCACAACTCGCTTGCATCGGATGTCACGTGACTGGTCGGCCATCGACCAATGGTTATTGATCTGTATCCCACCCGTTGACCCTGTACATCGTGTTCGCACAATGACAGTCTGCCCGCACCACAGTTCAGTGACCTGTGTTCTTCTTAAATCAGAGGCGTTTAGGTATAATATCCTGCATGAGAACATCGAGAGAATAACGTCAGAAAAATAATCTACTTTATTGATTGCTTTAGACCAGGAGATACTGGAAGCTTATATTTAATACAACTTCTCAACAAATTTAATAATAATACCTGTTATAATGCTGCTACATCAGGTTATGCATTTTTAGGATCCATTGTGATGCATATTCAAATCAAGGTGAACGGCCTTTACCAAACGCATCAATGCTTCAGTGCTCCTTCTAATGCGTTTCTGACAAATCTTAGCTTGCATGAGAACAGTTTAGGGTTTGGATTGATGATGATACGGTGAACTGTTTTGACCTGTTTGGATCGTATCAGCAACCCGAATCTATCAATCAATCCACGGTTGGATCGATGAATTCACATTGTTGATGAGACTCAATCAGGTCGAAACAGGTACTTTATTTTGTTTGAAAGATACGAGAGCTATATTGGGGAATACTGTGCATGCCCAATAAATCAAACACAGACAGCGTGTCTAGTCACTATCGGACAACAATAAAATCCGGACATTGCTTTGAAATTAGAAGAACAGAGATTTGACGAACAAGCTTGCTTTCAGTGCTTTATCTGCTGACCAATTACAGCACATTATACAACTCAGGGAAATAACAGAGGGAGACAGTTAACTCAGGGTTTTAGTGTGCCTAAAATGGACGTTCAGGGGTTGGGAGGGAGGGAGATGTATTAACCGCATGACCGCTTGATTGGTGATAATCCCTTGTGGAGTGTAGATATTCGACTGTCGTGTGTTAGGTGGGGGTACTTCAGACACATGGCCATGGGAGGGAAAGGGATTCAACGAACTGTTTGTGTGCACATAATGCACATAATTACTATCGTTGCTGGTATAGATAACAATCGGGCTTTAACATCTTTGGATCGAATCCCCGCCAGTAAATAGATTGGACAGAACGATTCCTGCATTTTAGGATATATGTGTGCCCCACTTAACAACCTCTCGCATAAAACAGGAATTATTTATTAAAAATAATGAATGCCTTCTGAACTGTTTTCGAACCTTTTACAACAACCATAATCGATCAGTCATATCTTCCGACTGGATCTATAGTTGTACATGTGATTTTCTCCTGGGTTTGATAAATATTGTAAATTTCTATGATGACTTCGTTGTGTAAATGAGGCGTGAGCTGACAGCTGGGCAGCTGTTTCGACCTGGTTTGGTCTCATCAGCACAGTATCGGTGAATCCATCGACCCGCAACTGGGGGTCGTGAACCCTCACAGGTAGAACGCAAGAATATTACCCACTCGGCCCGCGAGTGGCTGATCAGACCGTCCCTCATTTTTGAATACACACGATGTAGAACAACATCACAATATTTTCGCCAAACCTATACAGGTATTAACCAAACTCGTGCAACATCGTGATTTTCATCACATTTGTTCCTCTCAATGCTTCATTTTTTAAGCCTCATTCACGGGATTGAACATGACATTGCTACACATCAGACGCAACATATCTGATATAATACCCACAGATGTGCTTCCTTCTAATAGCCACATTACATTAAAATGTACAATTTCGCGATTTTGACAACGGTTGCTGGCGCATCAGTTGTAAAATAACAAAGTTACAGTATAGAACATAACTGTAATTTATTTATTAAAATGATTCGTAGGATTCAAACAGGTATGGTACTTTCATTTCGTTCATGTGCCATTTGCCATTCTTTATTTTTGAGCACTGGAGGCAGTCGCTTTAGCATGGTATCCACCAACTTGACTGCCAAACAAAATTTGCAAGTTTCCTTTAATACATTATTCTAACCACCGACGACCAACGTCGAGGTAGCTGACTTATCCCTGTTTCTGATTCTGGGAAAAGGTTCAATTAAATTAAAATCCCAGCTGCTGTGCGTTAGTTAAATGAATTTAACATTGAACTTGACCCCTCCAGGAACTGCATAAATGTAAAAAGGTAATATTTAATTAAGTCTAGCGTGTTTCTACTACAAACCTTAAGCGAGAAGATATATCAAACTTCATCTGTGAAACATTTGACATCCGTAAATGCATTTGAAGACTAGCAGTCACGGAAAACCTCCCAGATCACTGCGAGAAATTTTGCGATATCCAAATAGGTGTGTGCAGGAGACCAGTAACAAGGTACTCAGTATTTAATCCCCTTCGAACTCATTAGGAGGAACGGATATTTACTTCTTTTGACAGGTAGAACAAAATTCATTAGAAAACTAGCTCAGCAGATCAGCTACTTTGCACAAGTTATTTTCCAAATCTCGTCTGTAACTTTCGAGGTACAACAAATTTTATCGCAACACGCAAGGTCGCGCGAATTCAAACAGT